GCTTCTTGGTCGGCAGGGCATCGGACGATAGGGCCTTGGCTGGTCTCTTGTCGGCAGAAGGAGTGCTCTTTTCAGCCTCGGCTAGTTTGGAGATTCGTACAGTGTCCTCAAAATCAATCTGAGTCACTGTAGCCTTAGCCTTAGCCTTCACCTTCTTGACCCTCATTGGCTTAGGCTTGGATTGAGAAGGAGAAGAGGAGGACTGCACAGTCACTACTCTTGGGATGTTGGCTAGAAGGTCTTCAACAACTGCTAGTTTGTGGCTCATTTCGTCGGCAGGGGAAGCAATTGTTACTTTGGTGTCGAAGTGTATTGCTGGAAGGGCGGTTAGGGGATTGACTGGGTCGTAAGCCGATGCCTCAGAATCTCGACGTTTGCGGCTGCGAGTTTTGCTAGCAAGAGCAGAAATTGGAGCTCGGCGTCGGCGTCGGCGTCGGCGCTAGGATAAAATAATTAGTTGAGGAGTTGAAGTAGATAGTTGCTCAATTGGGTCAAAGGTGGAGGCCTGATCTGGCCTTGGAGATGAAGTTATTGGTGGAGTTGTGGTAGAAGGAGGGGTCTTACTTTGGCGTGGAACGTCGGGCAGGGCCGACTTGTATATTGGTATGTAGTTCAATAGAAAAAGGGCCTTGCGTTTCTGCACAGGAAGATCTAAAAGCTTCTTTAGATCTCGGCTGGGAACGAATGATTGCCAAAATCCCTTTGCTGGCTAAGGAAGAACTATAAAAAACAAAAAACAAACATTAGTAGAGATGAATAAACTAGCAAGCCTTAACCAAAATGGAATTTTAGTATAATGATTAAGTCTTACCATCACCCTCTTTAAAAACTATTCGGCTTAGAGGATAGAGATAAAGGTTGTCATCAGGTGTAAACTTCTAGTTGCTCGAGACGATGAAGTAATCATCTCCAGCACCCTTGTTGGAGTCTGGGAGATTAGCTATTAGTTTGAAAGCAGTGGATCTGGACTTTAGGTAGTATATGTAGCCTTTTTCAAACTCAAGGCCACACACGGTGTAGAAGAATTAGATGTCGGCTAAAGTAATACTAGCTTTTTCTCGGTGTGCTAGTTCAATTATGCCATTTATGACCCTATAGGAGTTTATGACAAGTTTCATAGGATTAAGTTTGTAATAGTGGAGGATTTCTTGAAAGAGAGTATCAGGAGGAAACCAAAGTCCACATTCGATGAATGTAACAACGGGAAAGGACATGGAGTCTCTGTTAGGCATGATGGAGTCCTCTTCCCCAGCTAACCTCAAGTGGACGTCGACTGGGATGGAGAACTCTCTCCTAAAGCACTCAAGTTTTTCTGTGGTGTCTACCCTCCACCTGAACATCTCCATGATGTCGTCTTAGTAACAGTTGGAGCAAGATTTGAAAAAAAAAATGAGTTAGATAGGTTTGAATACCTCGGCTAAAACTAAACTAGCACTGGGGTTAAGGTTTTTTTTTTTTTTTTTTTTCTTTCTAGATCTAGGAGGAGTCTGTTTCGTTTTTCCTAAATATTTTTGGATTTTAAAGCAAATCCCAATCCTAGAAACTACAAAAACGGATTGCAAAAGCAAGATTTGGAAATAAGCAAGAAAAATATAAAAGAATATGATTCAAACTAAAAAAAACAAACAGAAATTCAAGAACACTATACCCAGAGACAGATTGAACAATACAAAGTCACAAACAACCATGTTTGACACCCAAATGATGAAATTCAATGCACAAGCAAGGATTCAAGAACAAAAACTGGTTTGCGATGGCAGTAAACAACATGTAAACAGGTAACAAATTTGAAACAAATCAAAGAAATAATGAAAGACTGAAAATGGAGGAAATCAATGGCTTACCAAGGAAACAAACGCCGAGATGAGGATCGCCGGAGTCAGACGACGTGAATGGTCGCAAACAGACAATTAAAAGGTCGCCAGATGAGGTAATCAGAACAGTTGCAGATCTTGAAAGCTTAAATAATGGCGGTTTGGGAGAGAGGCGTTAGAGAGAGAAAGTTTCAAAGCGAAATGAATACTCAGAAGTAAAGAGACGGAGAGAGAGGGAGACATTTTATAAAAATTGTGAAAAAACGGCAAACCATAATGAATACGCCTTGGATGACCTGTCTATCAGACAGCGTGCGTAGAAATGACGTGACCTAATGGCGCGTGTCAGGTACGAACCAATGCGAGAAGGACGTGTGGCAGAAACGATTAGAAAAACCGTGCGTGATAGCTTGTGCGTAGATAAAACTCTTGGAGTTTTGGATTTAATAAGGCAAGAACCTCAGTTATAGGAAACGATCTCGGTTAAGGAACTCAAAGAACTTGGTTCTTGGTTTTTGGTCATTGATAGAGATAGGCAGTTGAGTCCTGAGTACTTAAAGCCGACGAGACATGATCTCGATCGAAGGAAAAAGTGAATTCTTAGCCGACATGAAGTCTGGATGAACGGTGTCGGTTCTATCACCTCAGGTTGCCGAGGTAACAAAACCTAGGGGGCAGTTGTGAAGACATATTTTGAGAATGACAGCACGTGACCAAGGTGACACCGAAGTGTCAGCCAAGGTGCCACGTGACTAGGTTATGCGCCGAGATGAACTCGGCTATGCCGAGATTATCTGCGGGGATATCGGAATTCGAAATGAGTAGATAGAGGACAGGAGTCCCAGAATGGGAAATAACTGTAGTCTGGATAAAGATAAAGCTCTTAGGGAGTTTATCTCTATCTAACTGAGAGACCAAGATGAGCCTTAAGCCAAAGTCCATTGAAGCTAGGCTTCTACAGGGATCATGTTAGTGCTAGCTATAAAAGCAGGGTACCCTCGTGAGTCTAAGGTATGTTTTTTTTACTCTATCTACTGAGTTAAGCACTATTGGCTATCTTTGAGAGATAATTACTGACTTGATCGTTGGAGTGCCCCCGGGTGGACGAACTACCGCCGGATTCTTATCTTTCTGTAACAGGTTGTTCAGGCTCAATCTATTCTGCCGGTGTTCTCCTGCTAAGTATGTCTGTTTGGTTGTGTGGTAAAAAATTAGCACCCACACTATTTATGCATAATAAACTTTGAACATGAGTTATATCAATTAGTTTGACACAAACTTTTAAAATAAAATAAAGAAACTATAAATATAGACAAATGAATAACAATTCCAAAATTTATACTTGCTGTGGCTGGGATAAGTTGCATTCCAATTACAAAAAGCATAGAAAGTTTTATTTCTTTTTATTGGTTTCTTTGCTTCAAAGTGAAGAAGCAGTTGCAGCAACCCAACAAACACATCAATGCAAGCCCAAGCACAAATTCCTTTCCCTAATCATTTCACCTTTTCTCCAATTGATAAATTACACAAATTACATGACCTTTAAATCTCTCTTTGACAGATAGAAACAAAAGTTCTTTTATTCACCCAAAAAAAACAGAAGGGTTGTTTGGTTTGTATTTGAGAAATATATTTTGAGATAAAAAATATAAAAATTTGTTTGTTTTGATTTTTTTTCAAAAGATGTTTTGAAAAATCATTTTGAGAGAGAATTTTGAAAAAAGTGATTGATTTGATGTGTATGAGAGAGAGATTTGTTTGGAAAACTTGTAAACCAAACAAGTTTTAGAAAAAAAATTTAAAAAAATTTGTTTGATTTGATTACTTTTAAAAATTTATTTGTAAAGAATTTTTCCTAAATTTTTTTGAGAAATACAAACCAAACAAAACCAAAAGTTCTTTCAAATGACTTCCCCCGCCAAACACACACACACACACCAAGATTGTGCAGAGAGGTTTTGATAAAAAATAAAAAATAAAAAATAAAAAAAGAAATAATGAAAAAGTTGAAAGGTGCTGTATTGTATTGAGAGGTTAGGACGTCTGCAAAATACCAACCGAACACATGAGCCAATGTTAGGTGATGTCAGTATCAATTAGTACAATATATATATATATATATATATATATGGCCCCACCAATTGAAAGGTCGAAATTGAATCACAAGCAAATTATATAGAAAACACAAGCAAATCAAAACCAAAAAAAAGAAGAAGAAAAGAATCACAAGCAAATTATATAGATCCGACCCATTTACTTTATTTTGGTGATTGTTTCTAGTAGGGATGATAACAGAACAAATATGGCAAATTTGTAGTTTCGTTTGTCACCTAAGACTTTTAAAAAGAATTTATTACTAGAAGTCTCAATTAAAGACTCAATAAGAGAATGTTTCATTTTGATTTTTAATCTAAAATTTTAAAAAATCTTAGACTGCTATTATATATTAGGGAGGTAGTAGATAATAATTGTATCAACAAAAATAAGAAATTGATATAGAATGTTACAGATAATAATAAAAGTTAAATTGTAAAATGTAAATTAATGAGAGCAAGAAAATTCATGTAAGGCGGAAGGAGGGATGTGAGGGTAGGACAAGGAATGATGGGAAAAAGTCATGCCGGGGAAATAGGAGATGCGGGAAAATTGTCATCTCCAATTTTAAGTTTAATCAATTTTAGGCAAATGAGAAAATGCCAATAAATCTTACCATAAGTTCTAAACTTTTTAAAATTAAGTGGAATAAGATATCATTTTAATTAACAAAAAGTCTAGGAACTCAAATTTAAGTGTCTAAATATTGTCCATACTAGTAATATATAGGGGAGATTATTTGAATATTTTCTAAACCACATATTGAAACTTGTGATAGAATAATAAATTTTCTGAGTTAGCAGTATTATTGTTTAATTAATAAACTTGAGGTGTTGAAATGACTTAGGTGGGAATAGACCCCAAAACACACAACAGTTGCCTAAGATATAAACTTTATCTTGGAGAGTAAAAATATATACCTTTTCTTTACACAAATGTCAAACTTGTTAGGATCCTTAAAGTAAGAAGTTGGTCACTTGCTTACTTTTCTTTCATAGAAGAGAAAGAAGAAACATTCAAAAATGCTTACGCATCTACACGTACATCTACATCATACACATCTAAATATATATACACACATAAAATAAAACAAAACATCAAGAAAGAACCATATGCGTGATCCAATATCATATAACACTACTATTTTCTTTACAAATCTTAGTTAGCCCCTTCTCTTTCCATGCTCTCTCTCTCTCTCTCTCTCTCTCTCATGACATAAGTTATATAACTAGTGGGGTGTTTTCATAATCAACCATTCATCTACAAAGCACAGGAGAGAGAGAGAAATAGAAACAACAATGGGAGGAAGAGCTATAATAGTGTCCATAATAATGGGTTTGGCTAGTTTCATCCCAATTCATGTCTATGGTGAAAGTTCATCGCCGGTGGGTCAGTTTTCAGGCAGTCACCACCACCGTGACCAAATGCGAAAATTGCAATCTTTTAAGGCCTCATTTCTCCGGCGAGATTTGATCTCTCTCCCTCCGAGCTCTGTGTCTCCATCTCCGTCACCATCGGTGAGCATTGTTGTTTAATTAATCTTTCATTATCAGCAATTTATCATTGTTGCTTCTTCATTAATCTTTCATTTTCTTTTTTACATTTAATCTTTGTTAAATCTTGAAAGTGTATGTAATTATTACCTAGGATTAGATTTTTCTCGGTAATTTGTATAAGTAGACTCTAACGCACAGTTAGAATGTGAACTCACTACAGATTTATAAAAAAATTCAAATTAATCAAAAGAATAATAATATTTTTTTATTTGAATTTATAAAAATACACTGTCTATTTTTAAAATTTTATTTACCATCTATTTTTTAAAGATAATCTAATAAAATAATGTCTTTTTTTAAAAAATAATTTACACCTAGTGTCCCAAAATATGACAATTTAAATCCCTGAAAATGAGACATGTTTTAAGTCACACACAATGTAGTCCATTTATATAGACAAGAAAGAAGTTTAATTTCATTATGTATAAATTTTATTAAAGTAAAATATAATCTTATTTCTTATTTTATTTTTCATTAACCATGATATGTATTATGTAGGTAGCACCAAGGCCACGAGTGTATCACGTGACATCTTATGGAGGAGACCCAACTGGGAAAACAGACAGCATAGATGCAATTCTGGGAGCAATATCAGATGCATTTCAAGGACCAAGTGACGGGTTCTTGATGGCTGGAATTGTTAATCTTGGTGGTGCAGAGATTAATTTGGAGGGCGGCACCTACACGATCAGCCGCCCCGTCCGGTTTCCGACCAGCGGCCGAGGTAACTTCAAGGTATATATATGCCTTTTAATTCTATTCGTAACTGGTGATCTTTGCCATGCTCTGTAGCACTACTCTATGATCATATATCAATGTATAAGAAATTTAAAATTTAGATACATATGGCCGATATTTAAAATAATTTAAACTTATTAACCCTTTTTCTATCTAAAAAACATATTGATTACATAGCTTAAACTAATAAAAAACCTGATTTATTAAAAATTGATTAAAAAACTAATAAAAAAATTCTGATTCATAAAAAAAAAAAACCTAAAAATTGATTAAAATTTAAATTTATAAATCTGATTATTTAAGACTGAGTTATGGGTTGAAACATATTGATTACAGAGCTTAAACTAATAAAAAACCTGATTTATTAAAAATTGATTAAAAAACTAATAAAAAAATTCTGATTCATAAAAAAAAAAAAACCTAAAAACTGATTAAAATTTAAATTTATAAACCTGATTATTTAAGACTGAGTCATGGGTTGATTTCTTTAGAAGTTGGTAGTTTCACATCAATTTTCAAATTGATGACAATTGCAAAAATAAAGTTGACACAAGAAGGTTTCATATGAGGAAATATTTGTTAATTCTCCTATAGCTTAGACTATATATATATATATATTTATATTATATACATCATGGTTTTAATTAAGTATCATTCATCTAAACCTACAATTGGCACCTAGTCATGGCAATACATTCAATTTTTTTAACCACCGTAAGTTTTAGGGGGGTTTGGAAATTCAAGAATCTTTACCATTTGGCACCTTGGCGTGTAGCTTCATTTTTTAACCAAATTAAAAAAATTAAAAAAAAATTATTGAGCATCTGAAATTAATAATAAGAGCATAATGGTAATTAGCCTAATTTGTGAGAAGTCGCAAGACAATAATGTGTTGGTTCCATTTTTCTTTTGTTCATTTGAAGGCTTCTAGAAATTTGGAAATACTTTTCTTGCTTCCAAAACCAAAAATTGCTTCATTGAAATTATTACCATGTTCCTGTACCTTTAATTTCATACTGTTAAATGAAATTTTTCTTTACTGATAAAAAAAAAAGAAATTATTACCATGTTATACATATACAATGAGGATAATTATTTTGCTTTGTAAATCATAAGATTTTTGAACTCTTGATTTATGGAGTCAATCAAACTATTAAACTCTAGTTTTGGTTCTCATCTAACTCAAGTTCTTTCAATGTAATTTTTGATGAAACAGATATATGGAGGAACGCTAAAAGCTTCAGACAATTTTCCAATTGATGGGTATCTAATTGATACATCAGTTTCTTCTGCTAACAACGAGGAATACAATTACGAGTATTTAACACTTAGAGACCTCATGTTGGACTCCAATTTTAGGGGAGGAGGTATTCAAGTTATTAACTCACTAAGGACTAGCATTGATAATTGTTACATTGCCCATTTCACTACCAATGGTATCTTAGTCCAGGGTGGTCATGAAACATACATTCGAAACTCATTCTTAGGTCAACACATCACTGCTGGAGGTGATCCTGGTGAGAGGAACTTCTCAGGCACTGCAATAAACTTAATGGGTAACGACAATGCTATCACGGATGTGGTTATCTTTTCAGCTGTAATAGGGATAATGGTATCAGGTCAAGCCAATATACTTTCTGGAGTGCATTGCTACAATAAAGCAAATGGATTTGGCGGTACTGGAATTTACCTTAAGTTGCCAGGTTTGACACAAACAAGGATTGTGAATTCTTACATGGATTATACTGGCATTGTCGCAGAAGACCCCGTGCAACTTCACATCTCGAGTAGTTTTTTCCTTGGAGATGCATTTATTCTTTTTAAATCCATAAATGGTATTATGAATGGTGTCAATGTTGTTGATAACATGTTTAGTGGCTCTGGCAATGGGATTGGAATTGTTCAGTTGGATCAAACAAATGGACCTTTCAAAAATGTTGATCAAATTGTCATTGATCGAAATAACGTGAAGGGGATGAACATTAAGGCAACAATCGCAAGAAGATCCCTACAAAGAACTGGGAGCACATGGACCGTAGACTTTAATCCAACTTTATTATTTCCTAACCTTATAACGAGTGTCCAATACACCTTAAGCACTACCGGAAGCTCGTTTCCTAATCATGCTTTGCGTAATGTGTCAAATAACTGTGTTGTAATTGAATCGGATATGACCATTCCAGCAAGTTTGTTTGTTATGGTGGATCAGGGAGTTTCAAGCTAGAGCTAATCTAGTTTTAGGGTTCAAAGATATCTTAATGAGCAAATGCATAGTGTGGAAGATTGATACATTTAATTACTTAGGTATCAATTCCATTGTTATTACTTTTTTATTTTATTTTTTTTTTTTTCCTTTTAAGAAATTGTTGATAATAAAGATTCAACATCAAGTCAATGTAACCCACAAAGTGCAAAAGTATCTTACTTCAAGTACAAGGTGTATTATTTTGAATTAAATTACAACATTTACAGTGTGGTCAAGGATCAAGTACCTAGTACAAAATTCCAAATTTCAAGCGGGAACATTTTCTTGTGGAGACCAAATGGATTTGGAAGTTCTTAAAGTCCACAAAACATTGGAACTTTGCATCAAGTGTGGAATTTTATTTTATTTTATTTTTTTTCCTTGGAGAAAATGAGTCCACATGTTCAAATAGTACATAAATCAAATTTGGACATAGAAATTGAGAAAGACCACCTTTGTTTTGAGCATATTTTAAATGAGGCGACTTCTATTGGATCTGATTTGGGATCATTTTTAGTAGAGCCTAATTAATTCTCTACATATCACCACTTGTGTGGTTGTTGACTATATATAATGCAAACTCTTACATATAATGTAAATCCTAATATATATATTGTTGTCTACTAAAATAATTTCATTATATTTTTCTTTTGTTTCAGTGTAGTAGAGCTAGTGTGAGCCGTACACGTAGTCATTCTTACTAAAAACCTAAGTAATTGTATTATTATTATTATTATTATTATTATTATTTTGTGTGTGTTTGATTCTTCCTATTGTTTATGTATAATTTATATCTCCACAATAGGTTCCATGTTAGCATTGGACTCAAAACACCAATTGTGATAGCTCCAAATCACGAGATGGATTTCAGCTTTCACATGCAATGCTACACCAATATTTATATGCGTAAATTATGAATAAGTCTTAATATTTAGATTTAATTTTTATAAAATTTTATTAAAAATAAGTCATAGCAAAATCGTTGTAAAAATAATTTTTGGTGATAATTTTTTAAATATGTCGCTAAAAATTGACAATTAGTTCTTTTTTTTTTTTTTGTAACAATTTTTATAAATTGTAGCTAAACTTACAATTAGTGATGTTTTTCTATGGCAGATTTTTCAAACTATTGCTGAAAGTTGAAAGTTAGTGACATTTTTTTGTGAAATTTTTTGTTAAACTATCACTAAAACTTATAATCAGTGACATTTTTGTGTGACAAAATTTTCAAACTGTTGCTGAAAATTAACAATTAGTGACTTTTTTTAATAATATTTAATGAAAAATGTTATTAATTCTCACAGAACCTATTGAATAGTAAGTGCACCTATTAGGATCTACACGTAAATCCCTATTTATATCCATACAGGTAGGGGTGTGCACAGTGTGATTCGGACAATTTGGAAGTAAAATTATAAACCAAATGGTAAATTAGCGAATTGGTGGATTGGTAAATTGCAATTTGAGCGGTTTTGAGCGGATTGGCAGATTGAAGAATATTCTAATCAATTATCAAGCTTTTACATAATATATAACACTAATTTGAATAATATTTTTTATATATATAACACAAATTAATTTCACAAAATATTTTTCATATATATAACTATTAATTCGTAATAAATTTCACATATTAAATCTCTCACACTCATTTTTGCTTTGATATTTCATTATGAATTAAAAATATATATGTATTAACTATAGCAGAGTTGAGTAATTTCGAAAGTTGATTATAAATTTTAAAGTTTAAACTGCGATTAACAGATACAGCAGTACGAATTGATGCAAATTAATATGATTTTAGCAGATTGAACAGTATTTTACACAATCCTACATACAGGCAACCTAACAATATCCAAATTTGTCTTCTAGTTGTAACAAAAACCATAAAAACTTTCGAGTAATTTAACAAGAAAATAAATAGATTTCATTCAAGGGAGTTGAAAGGTCTTATCTAGAAGGTCCAACACTGAAAGTCCTTGTGAAGGAGTTGTCATTAGTTTCTGATCACCAATTAGATGGCCAAAAACAGAACAATGTCAAGGAGTCGTTATTAGTTTCTGATCACCAACTAGATGGCCAAAGACACAACAATGTTGACATTTGTGAGAGAGAGAGAGAGAGAGAGAGAGATTGATGAGAACCTGTGATTTAGTGAGGAGCATTTGTACATATATTAATATTAATCACGGTTAGCAAATGGTCCAGTGAATGAGGTTTTTGGAAGTGAAAAAGTATGGAAAATGTTATATATAAACAATTTTTTTACTATTAGATAAAAATTGAGTTCCTCGAATGTTTATTAAAGTTGACCTCACTATTTTTGTCTCTAGCTATAAGAAATTTAGATAAATTTTTTTTTAAAAAATGCTTGTGACTCTTAAAATACTTTTCACAATTTGACTCACAATGATATAACATGATAGATGTTAACTTTTGATTTGTCACACACTCAATTATGTAAGACCTATCTCCCTTGCTACATTACTGTGAATAAATTATGAATTAAAATTGAAAGTCTCTAACACTTCATACAAAATTTATTCATATATAGTAGTGGAGAAAATATAACTAACTCATCATCCCTAGTATAACTAATCTTATCATTTTAGGTGAGTGTTGCTTGGTATGTATGCAAATCATCATCCATAACATAACTAATCTTATTATTTTAGGTGAGTGTGGGTTACATGTATGAGTCATCATCCATATGGTTAGAGTTAGTAAGCCTAATCAAATTTAAATAAACCAAAAAAAAAAAAAAAAGGTATATAAGAAAATGACATTAGATATTTATATATAGATGAAATATAGGTGTGCCAACAACATTTCCATAGTCAAAAACAGAAAAGAGTAGGGGGAATTAGAATTTTTGTTTAATTAGAAACAATTAAAAAATAAATAAAACTACAAATAAAAATTAATATTTATCAATGGAAAAAATTTCAAAACAAAAAATTTATTTTTGTACAAAAATAAAGCAACAAGTGTTTTCAAACTTTTTATTATCTTTATTTTTGAAAATATTAAAAATAGCAACTGAAAACACAACCAAGTAATTTATTTATTTATTTATTTATTTATTTTTGTTACTGGAAAAGCCTCCCTACCCTCCCTCAGGTCTAAGGCAGCGCCCCTTGCAGAGATCACCAAGGTGTCCTGTTAGCCGTTCCGAGTGAGGAGATTATAACCTGAGAACTTGTCCCGACCTCTCAAGACAAGCTCCGCTTAAGTCAGGACTCGCATAGCAGGGGAGCATTGAACCCACACCAAGTGCTAACTAGACAACTTGAGGTCTTGAGATCCAACCTCCTAACCAACAGTGAAACGCTCAGGAGATTGACCCAAGGGGAAAATTGAACTTGTGACCTTGGAGCTTAAACCCCAAGGCCTTACCACAATGCTACAACCCCTTCGGTTAAACCAACCAAGTAATTTAATTCCTTAGAGAGAGTATATTAGTTTTCTCAAGTCCCATTGTTGTCTTTGTTAGCTGAAAAAAATAATAATAAAGAAGCAAAGAAACAAAGGAGAACAGATTCAAGAAGGGTCTAAAAGGTCCAATTTTAAACAAATAAATAATGAATTCTTTTTAGAATTGTTCATCATATATGAAAAATGGATAAATAAGACTTGCTTTTAGTTTATTGTGAATTTTTTTTTTAAAATGTTACTTTTTTAAAAAGTAATTTAGGGATCTAATTAATTTAGAATATCACAAGTGAAAACGAAAACTTATTAAAATTAATTTAGGGATCTAACCTTCTTATTTGTTAGTTTTTTTTTTGTTCATTTTTTCTAGAAACTGTTTTTTTTAAAAAAAAACAAACGTAAAAAAATGAATTGATTTCCAAAGTTATCAAATTTTTCGAAAACGAAAAAGTGTGCTTTTACTTGTTTTCTGAGGGGCTGTTTGGGATGTCACAAAAACACCATCTTTTTTTTTCTTTTCTTTTTTTTTTGTCTTTAGTGACTTTTTTTTTTAAATTATGCCAATTTTTTTACTCATCTGGTCCATCTTGTGTAGACAAATCTAAAAAGTTTTATAAAAAAAATTGAAAAATTCCAAAAAAAAAAAAATTCCAAAATAAGCCAAAGAAATTCCACTATTTCTTGCCTATTTGTCTTTTTTGGACTTTTGGAATTATTTTAAAATTTTGGATTCATCTCGTTGAGCTTAGCCCCGATTTGGTTTTCTCATCGGGCTAAATAATGACATATAGATTAAAATAAAAAATAAAAAAGCCAAAATATTAAAAAGTCAACGAAAAAGTTTGTCACAAGGCAAAAAACAAAACAAGAAAACCAAATAATTAAAAAAGTCACAGGCTAAAAAAGTCAAAAAAGTTAAAAAGTCAATTAAAAAATTCATTGCCAAACGAACCCTCTAAAAGCTTAAAATTTTTTGAATTTTTTTAAAAAAATTCACTAAAGACCCACTCAATTGCTCCTCTCTGCTCATCACCTCTAGTCACTATCCACCATCACCATGGGCCATCAACCACCACCACTCACTTTTAGCAACCAACTTTGGTAGCCACCTCCCACTGATAGTTATCACATCCGCCCAGTCTCCACTGTCAACTCCTACCACCATCAACTCACCAAAATATGTTTTTTTATTTTATTTTCATTTTTTTTAAAAACATTTTGTACACCACCAATTAAATTTTCTGTTTACAAAAACAAAAACCTATTTCCTAATTGTTACTATTATTATTATTATTATTATTATTATTATTATTATTATTATTATTATTCTGCTGGGTCCTAATTGTTATTAAAATTAACAATGTTAACAAGAGACCCAGATAGCAGCAAATTTGACTAAAACATTTGAATTTGGCCCATGAATATATATGCTTACCACGGACCGTTTAATTGGCCCAAAGGCCTCAACATAAATTACGCCCAAATGAAACCAAAGTTCGAGTCCGGATCCTCTCCTTGAGAAAGGTCCTTGAGTTCCTGCGGGCAACGACTCAGATGAGCCGTTGGTCATCCAACGGCTGATATTATAAAAAATAAAAAAAAAATATTGTG